AGTAACATTGATCAGAACCTCAAACCCCAGGGAAGGAGGTGATCATTGGGAGTAAGGGGGAGAAATCAACCAAGAGACTGTGGGCATACATATGAGCCTCATCAATGACCACAGATAACATGGGGGTGGAGTATGAGTGGAGGGTATTAGATAAGGAGGGGATAAGAACACATGTGTAAAATAATAATAATAACAATAATAATAATATTAAAAGAGAGAAGAAAGAAAGAGAGAGAGAGAGAAAGAGAGAGAGAGAGGAGAGAGAGAGAGAGAGAAAGAGAGAGAGAGAGAGAGAGAGAGAGAGAGAGTGAGAGAGAGAGAGAAGAAAGTGTGAGGTAACCAGAACCCCAAGAACACCTGAGAACGCCTTTACTGCCATGCTAGCAGGCATCAGCTGTACGGTAATATAACCTGGGGCTATTGGGTAATTATTTCTGGGCTTATGTTCCTAATCCTTCATGGGTGGGAGCCCTTACCTGGCCTGATCCTTCTGCCCAAAGTAGTCACTGATGATACCAAATACCTTGATCATCCAGGAGGACCACAGGTGGGACAAGGAAGTATAATTACATAGGGGTCACCACTCTGCTGCCCTTCTGTATGACACAAAATTAACACTGCCCCTTTGTTTGTAAAAGTAAAGAGAGGTTTATGGCTTGTGAGGACACCAAAGGAAGGGACCATCACTATTTCCTCCTGGGAGAGGTGTAGAAAATGAAACAAAGACCTTGCCTATTCATAAAGAAATTGACAACCAGTTTAAAAAGGAATTTCCATGGCTTAGAGCAAAAAATATCCTTACATGATATTACTCTACAACGTCATTATAATTTTTCCCAGATTTGGGTTATCCCCATTACCTATAATAGTATCAATAAAAAATCATTTATTTAATTTTATTATATATTTGTTGTTGTCGATGCTTGGAGTCAAAGGTAACACAGCTCTAGATATTTTAGAATTACAACAGCATATTGTACAATTATTCCGAACAAACATACGAATCAATCCTTTGAATGTCTGGCAGCAATTTATAAGTGACATGAAAGGTCTTCATCCCTTCCACTGTGCAGAGGGCCCCCTGGGAAGGCACCTGAGCATTCTATATTGGCCCCTCTAGCCCTTTTGGCCAAAAATGACCCTCTTCTCGTGTTCCAGGTGCCCACAACTGTTGCCTGACCTTTCAGTTCATGCCGAGGCTGAAGCACCATGGTGGCTGGTACCATGGGTCTCTCGCCCGCCCAGTGTGGGGAGCTGGGCCCTCTCTGGAGAAGAAACATGGGTTCCCAAAAATATGAGATCAACGCCTGGGCCTCGCCAGCAGGTGAGGGTTTCCCGAGGCAGGTGCTGGGTGTGGAGCCCATGGGGGCATAGGCTACCAAGGAGACAGAACTAAACCTCATATCACCCTGCTTGGCCTCGGAGGATGGCTGGTTAGATTCCTCAGGGAAGGAACAACCTAAGACAGGCACAGTCGCAGAGGGGCCATCAGGAGAGAACTTGGGGGTCAACAGAGGTGGGGCACAGACCCTTACCACCACCCCACCACCCCTGCAACGTGGCAGGCGCCTGAACCTTCTCCCATTCTGAGGGAGGTCTCCCGTCCCCATGGCTGCTTCACTTCCCATGCACAGCTGAAATTGGGACCCAGGTAACAGACAGAGACTTGGCTGAGAGCAGCTGCCCTCTCACTGCAACAAGACTTGTTTGAGAGGTGTTGTACCCATGGTGTGGGCAAGTGGGTTTTTAAATAGCCAAGTCCAGCCTAGTATCAGGAATGCTCAGGCCCTTCTCAAGAAAGCAAATAATCAATTCCACTAATACACACATGGTAAATAAGATTGTTGCTAGAGTGTTGAGTCTGACAGATGAATAGCCAATTTCTCAGAGGAAATTAATGTGGCTAATGGAAAAAAATGAATATTCTAGAAAAACTGATTGTACTGTACAAAAAGCTGTTCCTAAAGTGTTAACAAAAATTCTTATTGGCAGAGCGTCTCATGGTAAAATTGCACAAACATGTTATGAACCTAAAGCAGTCATAGTGTAGCACAAATAATTAAAATGTAAAACCTATCAAGACTACATTATAAAATTTCCAAAAGTCTCCTATTATTAAAATTAAAAAAGGGGATGATAGTGGAAGAATATCATGCAAGGAAAAATATCCTGAGAATAATTTACATCTAAAAAAAACTGTACTTTAGAAAATTAACCTTCATTTGAAACGCTAACAGCAAGATACCCATGAAAATAGACACATGGTGTCTAAACAAGCCAGAGGAAAATTATTTGAAAAAAAAGAAAAAGAGAAAAAGAATCCCAAGTCAAATTTAAAGAAAATATCCCTTTATTAACTTTTGGTCGAGAATATGTTTGTATATTTTTAGAAAACAACTCCGAGCCCATCTGGAATCCTGTATCAGAGAGGAATAGACAGAAGTGCTCCAGCCATGAAAACAGAAGAGACACAATTCAGAGATGGAAGATGCTGACGACGCCTCACCATACCAGCAGACAGCAGGTGTGTGTCGCCGAAGGATGCCCAGGACCAAACCAGAGATGGGCGGACCTGCATCACCACCATTTGTCCATCAATTGGATCTGAAATATCATGGCTGACATGTACACATAAGGAACTATTTGACATTGAAATTGGGACTCAGAAGAACTGTTGGCCCAGAAAGGAACTCACTACAGACTGATTCATTAGCCTTTCAGCATAACAATTATGACTTGTCGTAGTTTAGGTTCTTACAAGGGTATTTCTTGGATCACATGTTCTCACACATTTAAAGGAAATAGTGAACAACATAAACTGATGAACAAAAACAGACCCAGAGAAAGAGAAGCAGCGATCAGACTCTCAAACCTCAGAGAGAAAGTAGGGGACGGTGGGGGTAAAGGGGAAGAGATCAACCAAAGTATTTGTGTGCATGCATATGGGCATAGCCAGTGGCCATGGACAAGAGGGGGGTGGGGGCATATGTGGGGAGGGGTTTGGGATGGGAATGGGGGGATGAGGACAATTATGTGATACCATAGTCAATAAACAAAATAAATAAAAAAATAAAAGTGCCATAAAATAAACTCCTTAAACAGGAATTTCACGAGACATTGGAAAGGTGCAATGTAGTTGTTTCCCCCTTTTTCCCTTCTCTTTCTTTTTCTTGATGTTTCATCTTTTGTCCTTTTTTTTCTCCTTTTATCCCCTTTCTGTCCTCTCTCTTAACTTTTCTGTTGGTAGAATCCTTAATACTTGAATCTGTCTCACTTCCAGAAGACGAAGAAGAGGGAAGCACACAGTCATCTGAAGAAAAAGATTTGATCTATGTTGGGATTGGTGGTGTTTCTGGTTTTGCTCCTCCCGCCTCCCCCCTCACATTTGTTTGTGATTGCCTTCATGGTGGTCCTGCATCTTCAGGACTTGTGAGTGAACACTTCTTCTTTAAAAAAAAAAAAATTTAAAAATATGTATATATATATATATTTCAGAGAGGAAAAGGGAGATAGAAACATCAATGATGAGAGGGAATCATTGATTGGCTGCCTTCTGCATGCCCCTTACTGGGGACTGAGCCTGAAACCTGGGCATGTGTCCTTGACTGGAATCGGACCCTGGACCCGCAGGCTGATGTTCTATTCACTGAGCTGAACTGATTAGGGCAGCGTTTTTCAACCGCTGTTCCGCGGCATGTTGCCTGGTGTGCCGTAGGTGCAGACAAGACAAGAATTTTATAATTTTTCACTATTTTGTTTACTTAATATTTCATAATAAAGTAATTATAAAATACTTTCTTTGTGTTTATTTGATTCCTATTCAAGAGAATTACTTTATATATAGTCAATATAGGCACAGAGTTAAATTTTTTAACATTTTCTAATGGTGGTGTGCCTCGTGATTTTTTTCATGAAACAAGTGTGCCTTTGCCCAAAAATGGTTGAAAAACACTGGATTAGGGCACTCTTATTCTTGTCTATAAAACCTGCCTGCCTTGGTGAAAACTGTAGGGGAAAAGGCCTTCCTGGGTGGGTGGGCTCAGGTGGGGCCGGGTGCTGAGGAACCAGGGCGGGGAGTGCCTGGCAGGTACCATTGCTACGGGCCACAAGTCCCTCCCCAATGGGAGAGGTTTCTGGGTCGCAGGACCACTGGCAGAGGATAGAGCTCAATGCTCATAGATGAGGCCATCCTCTGCCCGCCTCCCTCCTGCCTCCAACCACTTGGATGAGGACTGAAAGATTACCGAGAGGCTGCCGGTGGGGCTGGATCACTCCGCGGGGACACTGGTGCTTCAGAATCTGAGACGCTGAAGCTGCGGGGGTGTGTATGCCGGCGATCACTCTGAGGGGACTTGGGAGCTTCCTAGGTAAAGAACAGAGGCTGGTGGGGTGGGGGTGTGGGGTGGGGTGGGGAGAAGGGATCGCTTCTCCGGGAAGTGCAAGGTTCCGACGGAGAAACCCAGGCTGCCACTGTGAGGAAATCGCTGGGTGAGGATGTGGGAGTTTCCCAAGTTGAGATCTGAGGCCTGGTAACAGGGGGTGGGGGTAGTATGGGGTGGGAGGGAGGAGGGGATCTCTGGCGGGCACGGGGTAACTCCTGAGGCTGCGGGTGGGAGGGGATCACTCTACTGGGACTTGGGAGCTTTTGAGGCTGAGTCACGCAGGCTGCCGCTGGACACAGTCCAAGGCAGTGGTTGGCAAACACATTAGTCAGCAGGGCCACATAGCAACAGTACAAGCATTGAAATTTATTTTGAGAGCAGATAACACGAAGTTTCAATCTCGGGGTATGTGCCACACACACCTCACCATGTGACTGTCCAGTGGCAGTTTGCCAGCCAATGGTCCACGGAAGCCGGTGCCTCCCTGGCTGTGTGCCTGGGTAACTCATTAGCCAGGCAGTTTTAGGAGGCTCTGAGAAGCTATTCTTGTGCCAAGGAAGCTAAGCGTGGTTTTGCTCCTTCCGACCTAGGACTTTCATTTTTGCAAGAACCTTGCTGATGGCCTCAAGTGAAGCCCAGGCCGGCTGCAGGCATGGCTGTCAGGGAGGCGGCGGCTAGCCGCTGGTTGCGGCGCTTCCTGTGGCTGCTTCTGCTTCTGTGGGGCTGCGTGTCCCCCGCAGGTAAGGTGGCGGGAGTTGGGGTGGGGCGCCGGGATGGTTGTTGCTAGGCAGACTTTGCATGTTCATCTCCTTCAGGGGTCCCGCCTGATATCCTCAGCCACCTGTACCTCAACAGGCCTTAGCTCTAAGCTTTCCTTGGTGGAATCGTAGGAATTAAATAACGGATTTGGAAGTTTCTAAGAAATGGCAAGAGATCAGAATAATCAAAACAATATTGAAAAGGAAGAGCAAAGTTGGAGGATCTTAGGCGGATTAAGGTGGAGCCATGAACTAAGGACCTGTGTACATGAGATACCTCCCTCCCTCCCCGCACCCCCCCCCCCCCAAAAAAAAAGGAATTTGTTTTTGTGTTTTGTTTTTTTTTTATAAAGGGTCAGGTAGAGTGCCTGCTACATAATATGCTCTTTTAAAAAATATATATATCTTTATTGATTTCAGAGAGGAAGGGGGCTAGGGAGAAGTGAAATATTAACAAAGAGAGACTCATTGATACGCTGCCTGCTGCACACCTCCTACTGGGGATTGGTTAGGACTGGAATTTGTTTTTTAGTTACAGGGTAGTGTCTGAGAGTACAAGGCCTAACTTTTTTTTTTTTTTCAAGGTTCTCTCATAACTGAATTTTCTTATTTCCACAGACTTCTTGATAGTGGAGATGGAAGGGAAGAATCAAACTGTGTTGCTGAATGACAATGTCACCATCTCCTGCAAGGTCCCTGGTTCCACACCCCTGGACACCAACATTATGGGTATTATTTGGTATCTGAAGCATCAGGCGAATGAAACAGAGCATGAGGTGTTTGTAATGTATGCAGACATTCAAAAGGCATTCAGACCCGGAGCCAGCGTGTCTCCAGCGGGGCTAGAGAAGGGGGACGTCTCACTGCACCTTCCTGGAGTCCAGCTGAGAGACGCAGGAGAGTACCGATGTAACGTGGTGGTCACCCCCGAGGAGGCCCAGGAAACAGTCTTTCTAAAAGTTTTGGGTGAGTGCCTGAGGCAGTGTCCTGTGGTTCCCATGGTGATGGGGCTTGGGGTAGGGATGTGGATCAGTGAAGTAGAGCACAAGTTTGGGCATGGGCCTTGGAGTTGGATAGACAGGGGTTTAAGTTCTGGGCTTCCCTGGATGTCTGGACAACTTAGAGCAAGTTATTAATCACACTGAACCTCAGAGTCCTTTTCTCTAAACAGATGTAATAGTACTCTATAAAGACCCTGACTCCAGCCCTAGCTGGTTTGGCTCAGTGCATAGAATGTGGGCCTTCGGAGCAAAGGGTCCTGAGTTTAAAAAAAGACCCTGTCTCCAAAGGGTCCTGAGTTTAAAAAAAGACCCTGTCTCAATATAAGAGAATGGGTTTAGGGCTTCAACATATGAATTTTGGGGTGGGGCCACAGTGCAGCCTATAGTGGGGGCAATGTCTAGGAGCCCTTCTTAAGACTCTGAATGTTTTGTACATGTTAATTGGGGGGGGTGGGAAAGTGTATGAGGATTCCTTTTTTTTCATAACTGACAGGAAGCCTAAAATGATTTTTAAAAAATTAATATACTTTATTTTTTAGAACAGTTTTATATTTACAGAAACAATTGCAAAGATAGTAGTTTCTTTATGATCCTGCCTGTGCATATACCACTTTATTATTAACCTCTTGATTTAGTATGGTATATTGGTTTTAATTAATGAACCAATATTTATACATTTTTATTAGTTAATGTCCATAGTTTATGTAGATAACCTTAGTTTTGACCTAATATCCCTGATAATTTTTCTTTTCTTTTTCTTTTTTTTAAACATATTTTATTGATTTTTTTACAGAGAGGAAGGGATTTTTTTATAGAGAGCTAGAAACATCGATGAGAGAGAAACATCCACCAGCTGCCTCCTGCACACCCCCTACTGGGGATGTACCCGCAACCAAGGTACATGCCCTTGACCGGAATCGAACCTGGGACCTTTCAGTCCACAGACCGACGCTCTATCCACTGAGCCAAACCGGTTTCAGCCCTGATAATTATTCTTGTTCTAAAGGCTACTTTGAAATTCATAGAGCTATTCCAGTTTTCTTATATACCATACTAACTCTTTCTATTAGGGTTAGTATGGTATATAAACCTCTTTACTTTTTGTTATTGTTAATCCTCACTTGAGGATATTTTTTCCATTAATTTCTCTTTAAAAAATAAACACACAAAATTGGAGTTTTTATTATCAAGACAGCGTGGTACTGACCTCAAGATATGCATATAGGTCAATGGGATGGAATACGGGAGCCCTATTGGTGTGGTGGTAAAGTGGTTTGGAGGGGAAGCAGTCTGTCATCTGATATTAAATCTCATTCTCTGAGTGGCCTGAGCCCCTAGGCTATGACCTTCAGAAGTGTTCCTGGGTGAGAAAGGAAGGTTATAGAGGGCTGAAGAGCTAATCATCATTCTCCTGGGTCAGCCAGGGCTCTGGCAAAGTCTTCCCACTTGAGAACATTCTTGGTTATGGAGAATGCACCGGGTATATTTTTAAATGGCCACTTTTCCTCTCCCTTCTCCCCCAAACAGGAGGGAATTTTTCTTGCAACTGTAAGAATCTGAAGTTGGTGGCGGGGAAAAGGGTTCCTATAGATAAAACCCAGAAAAAGCTCCTAAGACTGGCCTCCAGCTAATCTACCAACATCCTTTAGCCATTTGTCAGTTATAACTCCAGTACCTTCTGCTCATGGTAATATGATTTTGGCTGTGGTTATCTCAATCTGCTTATCTCTCTAGCTTTCAGGGTTGTCAGTTCTCTGATGGGTCTAAGAAAAGTTGTTGATTTGCAGTTTGTTCAGTTCAGCTTTTATTCCTATAGGCTCGGTGCACAAAATTGTGTGTGTGTGTGTGTGTGTGTGTGTGTGTCCCTCAGCCCAACCTGCACCCTCTCCAATCTGGGACCCCTAGGATTGGGCCTAAACTGGAAGTTGGATACCCCTTTCACAATCCAGGGCTGCTGGCTCCTAAACGCTTGCCTGCATGATCACCCCTTAACCACTCCCCTGACAGCCTGATTGATGCCTAACAGCTCCCCTGCTGGCCTGATTGCACCCAACTGCAGATCTGGTCACTCCTAACTGTGCTCCCTTGCAGGCTTGGTCTCCCCCAACTGCCTTCCCCTGCTGGTCATCTTGTGGTGGCCATCTTGTGTTCACATGGGGGCACCCATCTTTTATTGATTTTAGAGAGGAAGGGAGAGGGATAGAGAGATAGAAACATCAATGATGAGAGGGAATCATTGATTGGCTGCCTCCTGCACAACCCCTGCTGGGAACTGAGCCCATAACCCAGGCCTGTGCCCTTGGCTGGAATCGAACCTGGGACCATTCAGTCCACACGTTGATGCTCTATCCACTGAGCCAAGCTGGCTGGGGGGCACCCAACTTTGACCACATGGGGGTTGCCATCTTGTGTGTTGGAGTGGTGGTCAATTTGCATATTACCTCTTTATTATATAGGATGAGGATAGGAGTGATGACTTCTAGTTTCTTACATGCCAGAGAGGAAAAGAGAAGTCAACAAGAGCTTTTATTATTTTTAATTTAATTAATTTAAAATATGTTTGTTTGTTTTTTATGTTAGAGAGAGAAGAAGGGAGATGGAGAGGGAGAGAAACATCGATGTTTGAGAAACATTGATTGGCTGCCTCCAGTTTGAGAAACCCTACTGGAAATCAAGCCTGCAACCAGGGCATGTGTCCTTTCTAAGAATCAACTCGGCTACCTCTTGGTCATGGGATGACACTCAACCAACCAAGCCACACAGGCCAGAGCAACAGGGGCTTTTAAAAAGGTAGTTTATTTTTCTTTCACAAAAATGGACCCAATCCTGGGCAGGTAGGGCAGTCTGTGACCATCTGGGACCCAGAGTCCTTTTATCTTGCCACTTTGGCATCCTCAACATGTGGCTTTCACCTTGTGTTTGTAAATGGCTTCTCCATTTTAAACCATGACACAGTCTTCCAACTATTCTCCAGGAAGGAAGAAGGGGAGAGGGAGAGAAGGGCATAGTGCTTTTCTTTAAGATAACCTTGTTCTTTAAGGGTACTTCCCTGAGGTTGCTCTCCCTACTTCTGATTCTGTCTGAACTAGTAGACCCTGAATTCAAATGGCTGCACCAGCTGAAGTGGAGGTTGGGAGATATAGCTTAAAACTTGCATGTGTCATTGGAGAATGGACAGCAGTTTCTACCACAACAGTGTTCCAAAGGTTACCTCCCATTCTCAAAGGTGTCTATGACAGCAAGTGGCTTAAGAAACTCTGCTTTACAAAATGGCTGTGAGTCGGGGTCATGGTCTATCAGCATCACATTGGCACTGGGATCAGCATACCCAGGTTATGTAGGTTAAGCAGAATCTTACTTGCCTCACTCACCTTTCCTGAAGGCTCACTAAAGGTCAGGCTTTGAACTGATAATAAGCTAAACCCAACCTACCCTCAAATCATGACTTCTCTTCTCTGGCAGCTTCCCCAGAGTGCACCTTGTTTCCAGAGCAAGCCATGGTGAAAGATGATGGCGACAAATATATTTTGTGTAAGGCATATTTATTCTACCCAGAGGACATTACCATAACGTGGCATACATGGACCCAGAAGAACCCCCAGGGCCAGGAGATTTCTGCAGTTATCACCACTGGTCCAGCCATCAAGAATGAGGACGGCACATTTAACATCACCAGCCGTGTGAGGCTGGAACACAACGTGACCACCTACCAATGTGTGATAAGTCACATATCCTTGCCCACCCCCTACAGGTTGAACTTCACTCAGTTTCGGAGAGGTAAGCATCCTCTAAACGTTTCCCTTACTCTTTCCCTTTGACGGGGTATAATGTAACATTGAAGTTCCCATGTAGGCCAAGATGGGGGCTAATGGGGAAGGAGAGAAAGCTTGGTTTGGCCTACTTCAGCCCCAGATCCAGCAGTCCAGACTAGGTCCCTATGCCAGGGTGAATGGCCTAATAGGTGGAAAGTGGTGACAAGAGTCCCCAGGGTTGCTGTTAACTTATAGCAGCTTAAGGATCTGGGTGGTCTATATGACCTGGAATAGGAAGCCTGTCAGCTACGAGGAGAAAGGGGATAGGATCCTGTCCATGCCCCCTGAGGATAGGGGTCTATCAGGGGCCAGAGACCCAACCCTCAGCAACTCTTCTGGCCAGGCTCCAGGGCCACTGCAAACTGTTGGCTGGTAGAGGGCAGATCAGTAGTTCTGTGCCCAAGCTGGTGAATCCATAGTAGGGAGTTCTGCAAATGCCAAGGCCTTTCCCCAGGCACACTAGATCCCAAGCTTAAGATAATACAGCTCACTACAGAACCCTGGTGAGGTTAATTGAACTCATATCTTGGTTTCCATGGTCATGGCTCTTGTCTTGGGTAGGGATGACCCTGCAGGTCAAATGCATCTGCCTAGAGCTGAGAAGGGATAGGGAGGCAGGGGCTGACTGGTTTTGCCAGATGGGGCCTTGGATGGCCCTGGAGGGAGAGTGTAATTGTTTTTGGAAGCAAGGGTCAGGGATGTGTATGAGTGTGGTGTGTGTAGAATATGTGTGGCATATTGGAAATATGGAATTGAAATATGATTTATGTGTATAATCTCTCATATAAAAGGCCCGTGGCTGTCACACCATAATGCTGCCACAACCAAATGAGCAGCGACTGGGTGGGACCCACAGGGGGGGTGGGCATGATTTACTAGCAGTGATGTGTGGCCCCCCCCAGCTGAGGCAAGCAGAAGTGAGGTACCTGCACATGATTTTGTGTGCACTGGGCCTCTAGTATAAAATAAGAGGTTTGTGTTGGTGACTTGTGGCTGCTGTAATAAATTGCCACAGACTGGGTGGCTTATAATCAACCGCTTTATTTCTCACAGTTTGGAGGCTGGAAGTCTGAGATCCATGTGCCAGCATGGCTGGTGAGGGCTTCCTTCTCGGTCACTCGTATTCTCACATGGTGGTAGGGATGAGGGAATCTCTCTAGGGCCTCTTATATAAGGGCACTAATTATTCACGATGGCTCCTCCCTCATGACCTAATGATATCCCAAAAGCTCCACCTTCTAATACCATCACATTGGGTATGAGAATTTCAACATATGAATTTTGGGGGACACAGATATTCAATACATAGCAGCATATAGTGATATAAGATGGTAGAGTGTGGAAGCTTAGGACATGTGCATGGCATACATATGTGGTAGGAGGTGTTCCATATTGCCCTGTATTTCTGGAAGGTGCTAAACACACTATTTGATGTGTGGAGGTGTATGTGATAGGGATAACATGAAGTGTGGTAGAGGATTGGTGGTTATATCTATGACAGGGACATGGCACACGATCACAGATATCTTAGCATTGGTTGTGTGATCACTTTGGCCCCTGCCCGTGTGCTCACATTTTGTTAACAGCTTAAAGGAATATCTTAAACCAGATTTCACCATTAAATCAATAATTTCTAGTCCTCATTGGTGTTTCCAAACATTTATCTTGATTGTGGTCAAGATAAAACAGCTCAAGGTAAAGAAGTCTAAAAGACAAGTGTAAACATGTTGCTTAACATTTGCCTCATGTTTCTGTAGGATCTGAGATGGGAAATGCCTGGTGGACTATTAACATTTTGAATATTGCTGGTTACATTGCTATACCAGTAGCAGCAGCAGCAATCATTGGACTGATTTATTGTTACAAAAAGAGGTAAGGGGGATGCCAAAGCAAAGTGTAGCCCTGTGTTTTGGAATTGGCTCTGGGAGGTCAGGGGCCTTTGCCAATGGGTGATATTTGAGAGTTCTCAGGATCGACGCCGGGGGGCATCTGAGTGTGGTGTGTGTGTGGTGTGTGGCTTTTTCTGATGCTGTGTCAGGGAAGAACGTTTTCATTAGATCCTTATGTGGTAGCTTGAGACTCTGAGGAGCTGCACTGTAAGGCCCCTCTGCCTCTTCCTGACATACAGTCTCTGTGAATCAGGCCTCACTGTATTCGTTCAGACTAGGACTTTGAACTGTGTATGGGCTAAAATGTTCTCACACATAGAACTACAGCTCAGAGAGGGGAATTCCTTCCCCAGGTGCTCACATTTTGTTAAAGGGATAGCTTACAACCAGATTTCACCATTAAATCAAGAATTCTTAACCCTCATTGGTATTTCCAAACGAAGACAGGTTTCTAAACATTTATCTTGACTGTGGTCAAGATAAAACAGCTCAAGGTAAAGAAGTCTAAGAGACAAGTGTAAACATGTTGTTTAAAATGGTTCTATTGTAGATATTAAATTGCTCTCATTTTTTGGGGGTGGGGGGTGGGGGCGGAGAGGAACTCGAAGGCAGAATCTGTGCAGTAGCCAATACATCTCATTAGAAATGCTGGTACATGGTCCTGGGGAAATCATTTTATAGAGCTGGTCTTCTAAGTGGGTTTTAAAATTTATTCTTCTATTGAAGTTTTTAGGTCAATTATGTATGTTGACTAAATTTACAAATAAACTTGTTTATCCAAACAAGAAAGAAATGCTTTAAGAAAATTAGAATAATCAATTAATCAAGAAAAAAGGCCTTTTATCTAAAGTTGACCAACTGATTCATGGGACATTTTCTTCTTTTTTTAAAAAAAATATTTTTATTGAATTCAGAGGGGAAGGGAGAGAGAGATAGGAACATCAATGATAAGAGAGCAACATTGATTGGTTGTCTCCTGCATGACCCCCATTGGGAATCAAGCCCACAACCCAGGCATGAGCCCTTCACTGGAATTGAACCCAAGACCCTTCAGTCCACAGGCCAATGCTCTATGCACTGAGCCAAACCAGCTAGGATGGGACATTTTCTTCTGATTGGGGTTAGGCCAATGTGAAAACTGGATATAAAGTGGTTTTCAAATGATTCTTATGATATTTGTGAGTGTTATCATATTTCTGGTCTTCCTCTGGCTTCTGATATCTAGTACTGTCACTGTTAGCAGACATTTCACATTGAAATAAAGAGACTACTAAAGCCTTCATAATCATTCTGGATTAAGTCCTGGTTTTTAATGAAGGCTCCAGACCTCCAACCTTCCCTAATATTTATCCTTTGCCATGTAACTTTTTAAAAATATGTTTTTATTGATTTCAGAGAGGAAGGGAGAAGGAGAGACAAAAACATCAATGATGAGAAGCCATGTAACTTTTCAGTGCCCTCCAATCACGGGCTGCCCTTAACATAGGGCTTAACCTTGTGACTTGCATTGGCCAATAGAATGAGACAGAAGTGAAAGAGGCCTTGTGTATTTCCATTTGCTTTCTTTTGTGCTGACATTAGTGAGAGGAAGATTCTAAGCTAGCCTGAGGGAAGATGAGAGACATTGAAGCTAGTGCTAGTTGCTCTAGAGGAGGTCAGTCTACAGTAAGACTTCACTTCACGTCATGCCTAGGTTCTGCAACTTGAAACAAAACAACATATAATGAAGCTAAGTTTATTATAGGCTAATTGATATAAACAAGAGGCAAGTTCCTATGGCATCTCATCCACATTATGGAGGACATTATCAAAACCATGTTTTTTTGAGAACCAGCTATAGATTAGGTGACAGCCATCCAGTTCCTAGACATGTGAACAAATCTAGCTGAGATCATCACCATCAACAGGGTCGACTCTCGAATGTGTGAGAAATAAATCTTTATTATTTTAAAGCCACTGTTTTAGGCTTGATTGTTATATAGCAAAAAACTAACTAATACAGATCCTTAGAGAGCTGAATTTTGACCAAAAGTGGTTGCTCTAGAGCTGTGAGAGTCTGCTATGAAGCATGCACCCAGGTAACATGTTCTACCTGTGCCATCTCAGGGATCTGCTGCTGTCCTCACCCTCAGGAGGTCCAGCCAATGCCTGAACAAAGCAGGAGTCTTTGGACCTCTCTGTAGAGTGGCTGAGACTTTCTCAGAGTTGCACTAGAATCTGAAACTCTTGTTTCCCAATCCTTTTTCCTTCCTCCCTTCACAGATATCAGATCTACATCATGACCTAAAGGCTTCCCTCACTGACTTCTGTGCCCTCTTTCATAGGTACTACTCCCAATTATTCTCTCCTATTTCTAACACATCTAGAAAGCCGCCTTTTGGGAGACACGATCCAGTACCACAAGAAGAAACTAAAGAATTGGAACTTGGTGCTTTAACTGCCGTGCGTTCATGATGTCTTCAGATGGAGGAATGCTGTGTAAGGCAGTTCTTACACAGACGGATAACAGAAACCACAGGCTTTCACAGAGAACGTGTAAGTAACTAACATGACTTTTCCTGATGACTGCCACAGCTTGCTCAAGAGGAGACTGTTCAAGCTGCTTTCCTGGATAGCCTCTGGCCAATCATCTCTTTCCAAGAAAAGAAGAAAACAACACTTTACAAAGAAGATATACAAATGGCCAGCATGGATATAAAAAAATGCTTAACATCATTAATCCTCAGGGAAATGCAAATCAAAACAATGAGACATCACCTCACGCCTCTTGGAATATCTACTATCAAAAAGACAAGAAATAAGTAGTAGTGGCAAGGATGTGGTGAAAAGGGAAGATGTGGGTACTGTTAGTGGGAATATACAATATATTTACGTTTGAAGATTAATATAAAAATAAGTTTTCTGAAAAGAGCATGGAAGTTCCAAAAAAATTAAAAATGGAACTACCATATGATCCAGCAGTTTTACTTCTGGGCATTTATCTGAAGGAAAGGAAAATTCAAACTTGAAAAATTACCCATACCTCCATCTTTATTGTACCATTACTTACAATAGCCAAGACATGGAATCAACTTGTGTCATCGATGGATGAGGGGATAAAGAAAATGTGATACACTCCTACACACACAGTCATGTGCCACTTAACAAAGGGGATGCATTCTGAGAAATATATTGTTAGGCAATTTCATTGTTGTGTTAACATCATTGATTATACTTACACAGACCTAGATGATATACTAGTAGCCTATTGCTCCTGTACAGTCAGACTGCACTAAAATCATAAAACAATATGAGACCAAATCAAGCAGAAGTGAGAACGATATCAAGAGACACAGCCAACAGGCTAGGCTGCTGCTAGTGTAACTCCACATACTGTTTTTCAGAAAACTTATTTTTATAGATAGAAAGAGTACACTCTAAAATAGCAGTAAAAGGTCCTAGCCAGGTGGCTCAATTGGCTGGAGTGTTGTCCCATACACCAAAAAGGTTGTGGGTTCAATTCCTGGCTAGGGCACATACATAGGTTGCAGGTTTGATCCTCGGTTGGGGCAGGTATCGGAGGCAACCAATCAATATTTCTCTCCCAATTCCATGTTTCTCTCTAAAATCAATAAAAACATATTCTCAGGTGAGGATTACAAAAATAGCAATAAAAGCATAGCATTGTAAATACATGAGCCAGGAACAATCATTTACATCGTTATCAAGTATTTGTATTGTGCATAATTTTGTACACTTTTGTATGACTGGCAGCACAGTAGTTTGTTTACACCAGCATCACCACAGTAAGTCTAATTTAAATTCATCATCTTGTGAATAACGCATTGTGGTTCAATGTTAGGATGGCTATGACTTCCCAGGTGATAGGAAGGTTTTTGCTCCCCTATAAGCTATGGGTCCACTATTGTATATGTGATCAGTCCATTGTTCCTTGAAACATCATAATGAGGCATATTACAGTGCACACAATGGAATATTATTTAGGCATAACAAAAGCAAATCTTGCAATTTGTGACAAAGTGATGGACCTTAAGAGTAGTATTTTAAGTGAAATAAAAGAAAAATCTATATAATCTCACTTATATGTGAATCTAAAAAAGAACACCCCCCCTCCTCCCTCCCGCAATGAGCTCATAGATACAGAGAACAGATTGGTGGTTGCTTGAGGTTGGGGACAAAAAGGGGGAGAAATGGGTGAAGGGGATCAAAATACTTTGAGTTTTAAATAAGTCATGGGGATGTGATAGCACAGTGCCTCGAGTTAATAATGCTGTATTGCATACCTGAAAGTTGAGATCATTATAAGAAAAATATTTGTAACTGTATGGTGATGAATTTAAATTAGACTTACTGTGGTGATTATTTTGCAATATATACAAATATGACATTTTATCCTGTGTATTTGAATCTCAGATAATGTATGTCAATTATACCTCAAATTAAAAAAAAGGGGGGGAGAAAATAATATCTATATCTATATATCTATATCTATATCTATATCTATATCTATATCTATATCTATATCTATAGATATATATTTAATATATTTTATTGATTTTTTACAGAGAGGAAGGGAGAGAGATAGAGAGTTAGAAACATCAATGAGAGAGAATCATGTATCAGCTGCCTCCTGCACACCTTCTACTGGGGATGTGCTTGCAACTCAGGTACATGCCCTTGACTGGAATCAAAACTGAGACCCTTTAGTCCGCAGGCTGACTCGCTATGCAATGAGCCAAACTGGTTTTGGTGAAAGCCATATTTTACTAGCTGCAGATTGTGACCAGTTTCCATTTTATATTCTATTGATGTTCAGTAAGTTCAATCTGTACATGTCAGTATATATGAATAAAAATATTCCCCTTTATTAATGGCTGAGTTATTCTTTGATAGAACATATGTGATTTATCTCCTACCTCATGATTAGTAAAGAGTGGAGCTTAGAATTTTAATCAATATTCCATACTAGAGACCCGGTGCACAGGATTCATGCACTGTTGGGGGTGTGGCCTGAGGGTATAGGCCCGCTGTGGGAGCACCTCTCATCCTCCAGCTGTGGACCCGCACTCTGAGCAGCTGCTCCCTGGTCCTGCATCTTCTGTGGAGCCAGAGCACTCACCTCTCCAGGGGAACAGGTCAGGCTCGGCCCAGGGACAATAGCACTGAGAGGCAGTGGAGTAGACCTCAGTTCTGTGGCAGCCACAAACCTGCCTCTGGGGTCAGCTCTGTGAGCTTGGCAGTGGTGCTGTA